TGCTTGGATAATAAATAAGCTCCCTTCGGTTCAAAACAAGTGTCATGTACAATTTTTGTGACAATTTAGAACAAGAATCATCTTAACCAAAGTTTAGACGACTTTTTTACGAAGGTACATGGAAAAGGTACATTTTCTGTCTTACAGCGCATGAAAATCCTCACTTTACCATATCTACGAAGCACAAAGTTCAGTTTTCCTAGCTCGGCGCACGATAAATTGCACTTTCCTCTCTCTGCGCATGACAAGGTCAGCACTTGCAACACACAATACTGATTTTTTGCTATATATTTAAACGATACTTCATTATTAGGAAGATAGATGACACCTTCCATTTAAAAGATGTCACACATATTTTATAGTATCATTTTAAGCAAAAAATCTGATACTTCTTCCTTTTCTATGAGCGTAAAACTTATTTTAATTGTTAAAAATTACAATCTTTCCATTTCTAATGTAGAGACTAGAAAATTGGGAAAAAAATCAAATAAAAAACAATTCAACCTGCTAACAGATGTTACTTTAGCTATGAAATGCGCACCAAGGGTCAGAAATTGTGTTAAAACTAATGAAAAATGTAATGTTTCATCAATAACAAACATGGATAATCACTCAAACGCAAAAACTCCGCTGAACTAACGTAAACGAAAGAATACGTTGTGGTGTTTGGTGCTATAGGAACTCATAGACCATGACAGAGCGTCCAAAAAGTTCATCTACTTTAAACTATATTGAAAAACAGTTCTAGTTGCACCCAAAAAGTGCCAAACTAGAAAAAATTGGAGAACATAGCACCTGACTCGATGGTGATCTGGTTCTAGGTTATTATTGCTCTAAAAATTTCAAAAGTGATATGTGACATATCGGCAAACATAACCAGAGCATAAAATTGTAATTTTTGTAATGAAAATAACTGAAAAGTAATGAAAAACTGTAAATATTGGCTATCTGCAGTTTTGAAGTCCAAATGATCAAGTCTCTACTGTACACTAAAACTAACTTAACTTTTCGACAACATTATCCTAGTTGTACAAACTTTTTTATTTTTTTTTTTCGAAGTTTTTGATCCCTTTCAGTACCAGCCAATTGTTTGTCACGTGATATTTACAATTACGGATATGCTCAATCATCTGCATACATTAGTATTATAAAATGATCATTTTATGGATTTTTTAACTATTTTTTAAGGGCATACTTATATAAAACTGTCTAGTTTTAGTAAAAACAGAGTATAATCAATGTATATAGCAATAGCACTACCCAGATCGGCTATATCATTAAATATTCCAAAAGAATCTTAGAAATAAAAACAAGATACAATTATTGTCATCTTAATAGAGAAAAATTATTCTAAAAATATTTTTTTGTTTTAAATTTTTATATTTTTTTGGATTTTATTAAAATTGATGGTTATATATAGAAGGCACGCTCAGTTGTCGAACCGTTTAGAACTAGTAAAACTGCCAGTGCAATGTTAGATTTATACCTATTAATAATCACAAAATTACGCGTATTTACGGAAATTATGTAAGATCGGCAACACTGCGCTGTCATTTTTACGATTTCATCATCACAAATTTACGAATAAATCGTAAAATCAGCAACACAGCTACAATTTTTTTACGGTTTCATTATCACAAATTTACGAATAATTACGGAAAAATTGTAAGGTTGGCAACGTAGCACTGTCATTTTTACGGTTCCGAAACGGTTTAGGAACTGTTCGCGTCCAAATACACATTCATCAAAGACATGATTACAGTATCTTTCGTATATAGATACAAATATAATAATAGTTTACAAATATTGGAAAAAAAATATGTACAAAATATCAACCATCTTCGTGGCTGCAAAATTATAAAAAGATGCCACGGAACTCTAGCCAGATCCTCTATTTACTGCGAAATAGGATTTACCATATTGCACCCTCGACAAAAACCGATAAGTATGCGATATTGTCTACTTTTAAAATATATGCCCCGTGTTTGCGACGAAAATTTGTACATTAAAAAAATAGTTTTATTAAAATGAATTGTTGATGGCAAGGTCTATAAAAGTATACAGGTTATATCCCGACAAAAAATACATTTCTTTGTATTGTGAATCGTTCCTAGTAATTATTTACAGAAATAAGGAAGTATTGCATGAGTTTGTTATAGAAAACTTAGCTGTCATCTGTCAAGCTGTCACTTAATAATTAAAAGCTTAAAGAAAATATATGCTAAGCATGCTGTGCAACTGTGAAAATTAATTCGAGATGAAATTTAACTGATAAGCCCAGAAAACCATCGGTATCGGGAAGAGATTTTATCATATTTTATCTTAGAAGTGAGATTTTATCAGTTTTGAACTAAAAAAAATGATGATAGTACAAGATGCAAAAGTAACGGCCTTCTTGGGTTAAAATACCTTCTGAAACCTGAAAATACCTTCTGTTTTTATAATGATAATATCCTGATAATTTGTGATTGTAAGTTTGTACTGTCTATAAATAATTATAAAAACGAACCACAACCATGAAATATTTGACTACACACTTATAATCAATCGTAAATACCGACTGTCAGTAAGCTGAATAATAGCCTTTTTCATTCCTGGATCGTTAGTCATCAACTCTATAAAGAAATTCGTCATAAAACACTAAGCTGTCACAATAATCAACTGTCAACGAGAACGAGAGAACAGAAACTGTTAACAATTATTTATATAAAAGTATTTTCAAAGAATTTGTCCAATTTGCGAAACAACAGTTTTTTCGTGGTCCCTTTGGTTGTCATTGTTTTGCTGATACTTTTTCACTTTAACATATAATCTTAAAAAAACAAATAAAAAGCCAGAAATAAAAAAATAACAGAAAGGAAAACAGAAATAATAAAAAAATAAATAAAGAAATGGTAGATGTTTCCTGAAAATTTATTATTTTAAGTGTGAAATGGAAATAATATTCCAAACATGTCTATAAATGAACGTTTTAAAGATTGCTTACTACTTGACAGGGACTAAATAAAAAGTATGGAGTCCTAAATCATATTATAAAGGTAAAAAAAGTACTGGTAGGTCAGTCAGAAAGGTCAAAGTCAGTCAAACTTTATCAGTTGTATAATTTAACATTAGTATGATTAATCATTATCAGAGATGTTGTTAGTTGAAGTTACGTTAAATGATGTTCTTCTCGCACTTCTATAGGATATCAAAGGCATGTAACGGTTTCAGATACCACAGGAAAAGAAATTTAATAAGAACTACAACAAGATCAACAACGTTGCGATGAAGGAAGAAAGTAGATGGACAAATTGTACGTTAAGTTTCATTCTGACGGTTCTGCAAGTTGTACTTAGCACAGATGTCCATGTCATAGACCTTGAGCTCAGATTCAGCAAACTGAGTTGCTCTGTCTGTGTTCGATAAGACTGTGACACTAATTAGTCGGAATAAGCCACATGGAAATGATTTTTCCATTCTAGGTGTTAAGACTATGCAGAAAATACACTAATACATATGGTAGCTCTCAGTTTTCGAACTCCTTGAAGCTTGTGCCTATGCCTGAACGACCAAATGAGACATGTGTCCAATAATAGAGCAGTGCAGACTGTTTTCATAGTTTTTATTGAGTTTTAGTAGCATAATGATTAAAAATGACGAACGTGCGTCATTTTTTAATATTAGGTATTATAGATGGGATCGTAGGCAAGTAGCACATCATTTAAAAATTCATGTATCACTCCATATGTTTCTGGATTGTTGTGTGATTCTATTGCGCCTTTTGAAAATAGCAACCGTTTGAACAGTAGACTCTATTTTTTCAGTTCCCGACATTCTGATACAGTTTATTGACATCTGCCAAAATATTCATCCATATTTTCTTTAAAAGAAATTTTTACAATTTTAAAGGTGTTATGTTACTCAGTACGTTCCTAAAAACAATAAATCGTTATCCTTCACTGTTTAAGATAATTTTCACAATTCACAGTTGCCATTTTAAAACGGTGTGAAAGATAGCAAAAAAATCTAGTAAATTTAAGACAAAGGAGTTTTCAAACGATGTATTACTTGCCACATTATCCTATTTAAAATAATTTCACAATATGGCGAGTGTCCGTCATTTTGAATGATTAGGTACTTGGAACTTTACGAAAAGAAAATGAACTTAGTTCATGAAATAGTTTAGAAAACAGTTAGATTGTAGTTTATTTTATTGAGTTTAGTTTTAGACCTAGTTTTTTTCGTGACTAACAATTCAAAGAATTTTCCTAAACAATATTGGCATATTCAGACTGACTCATCGGTATTTTTTTTATATAATTAACGGTTAATATGTGGATTTTTTGATTAATTTTTATTCCGATCTAATTTGTTTGGTACGACATACTAACCGTACAAACAGCGTTAGATTAAATCAATTCAAAATCATTTTATAATAAATCAATCACTTATATCAATTTCGAGTTACTGAAAAATTACAAAACGATAGAAATCAAAAAAATGTAACACTTTAAGATATAAATAAAATCAATTACAAAATATTTGTTTGTCGGATACGAGAGGATTTGAAAGCATCAGAAATTGAGACATTTGTGTACAGAGATGTAGTTAATTATATATGAAGTAAAAATAAAGTAACTGCTTTGATTACAACCGATAAAAAGCAGAACCATTCATTCAGCATTTAAAAGTAAAAAAAGAGGTTATGTTAGGTTAGATGCAAATGAATCATCTAAACAATGTCATGATCGTAAAAAATTAAGTACTGTCAAAACGAAACACTACTCAATGATTATAACACAATTAAGTACTCTTCACATTTAAATATACTTATGATAGTTTCACCGCTTTCTGATCTCTCTTATAAAATCATTTGCTTACACTGTTCACTGTCGGACGAATTTTCGTCCAAACGCAGGGCATATAAAGAAAACAACCCATACGACAGACTCTTCCTTGCGCTAAAAACGATTCAACCGAAAAAAAGATTCATTCTACCCTATAGATACCCATAGTCGTTATTGCTTCATTGGTTTTTTGCGTTTCATCGAATTGTTGTGGAAACTGTTGTGATTGGATAAGTGATTGTGTCCATTGACGGCGTGATTACTCTTGTACGCCTTGTTCCTATACGAAGAGACGCTTCTAGGCTTCATGGCGTTTTGGCGGGGAGGGGTGTAGTTGATGTTCGGTGAATTATCCCTGGATGGTACGTCTGAACCCTGGAAGAAATCGGTGACTATAAGTATATTTCATTAATGTAATGTAAAAGGAGCTAATATCTGTAGCAGTGAAATTCAGTGACAAAAAAATGGTACAAAGTAAACATTGTTGTACAGAGAAAATAAAAATAATTTGTACAAGACTTTGATAAGATCAGTTGTTACCTTCGCTGATGAAACTTGGGGCGTGACAAAGACAGACGAGTCCTTTTTTCGAATTTTTGAAAGATCAATACCCTGAGGTAGCTACTGAAGGTATCATCTCGTGGAGAATTAGAAGACATTTTGAATTTCGTCAGTTGATAGGAGGAGTTAGTAACGTTGAAGAAAGACGCGTTACTTCGACATGCGAAAAAAATGCACTCGGAAAGATTCCAATGAAAAATTGTATACAAAAGAACGGAAGAGACATGTAGGAAGGTAGACCAAGGAAGCGATAGCTTTAAGACGTGAAGCGTCTTGCAAAGAAGAGAAGAAACTTAACAGAAGCTAGAAAGTAAAGGCTACCAATAAACCATAAGAAGATAACACGGTCTTAGGGAATGGTTCTATCGAGCTCAAAGTCTGGATTTAATTGCAATAGAGAATCTTTAGGGCACTTTAGAAGGAGATAACTCCGGGATTTCTTAAACGTTTTGGAGGACGTAGACAAGATAATGGGGGCTCTATGTAACTCAAAGTGACAGCTTATCTAGAAAATGTCCCTGTGGAATGTCCCTGTCGAGCTAAAATTCCGAATTAAACTGCAATAGAGAATCTTTAGGGCACTCTAGCAAGGAGATAACACCGGGACATGCTTAAACGTTTTGTAATGTAACTCAAAGTGACAGCTTATCTAGAAAATAAGATGGAATATCCCTGTCGAGCTCAAATTCCGGATTAAGCTGCAATAGAGAATCTTTAGGGCACTCTAGGAAGGAGGTGACTCCGGGGACTTAGCTTAAAAGTTTTGGTGAACGTAGGCAAGATAATGGGAGGCTCTATGTAACTCGAACTGACAGCTTATGTACAAAAGAAGCGGGAAGGGCTCTAGCCAACTCAAAGTCCAGATTTAACTGCAATAGAGAATCACTGGGACAATCTAAGAACTGCAATAGAGAATCACTGGGACAATCTAAGGACAATATTGCCCCGGAGATTTAAAAGTTTCGGAGGATGTAGGCAAGATAAAAGTTTCCATGTCGCTTGAGTTATGAAAGATTATTTGGAAAAGAAGCTTGCTTTAGCTAGGCTCTTGAGTTGTGAAAAAATACATAGAACAAGGAGAAATTGCTCTAGACCCGCATTTTTTACATTAACAGAGAATTAATGGAACACTATAGGAAAATTAGAACAAGAACGTCACTTAAATACTTTGGGGGATGTAGGCAAGAGAAACCGAGAAAAAGTACGTTAGATAAATGGATGATACAGTATCTAGGGAGAAACAGCAGTAAATAGGTAGGAACTGCTTCACGTAGCTTATTTAGATCAATAAATTTGTGTACAATTAATATCATCATCCCTGTTACTTTTGGCATTTTATAGGGAAGTGTATATTTATGATAGTATTGAGAAAAGCTTTAACAAGAAAAAATAATGACAACTGACAATAAATGACACTTTATTCATTATTAACTTTCAATATTAAAAAAAAATCAACTAGATATTATGAAATTGAAATTTCACTTACGAGGGACATCCAGGAAATAGGAATACAAGGGCTGGGTAAAATACAGGGACTTTTTTTCAAAGTTGGGGCGGTGGTGTGTATGGGGATTCCTAATGATCAAAATAGCACTCTTTGGTCCTGAAAGAATTGTTGTCGCAGCAATCTAACATATCAATGAGTTCGCCTTCTTTTGTAAACCTACGGATCAAAGATTCAAAGGTAATGGGTTCGTTAAAATTGGTTAGGGTTATTTAAGAAAGGCTGTATCATACCAACCCCCACAATGAAGAATGAAGTGGGAGACCGTACTAAGTTGGAAAAGAGATAGGAATAGACATCCTTTCATGTAGTCATGTAGTTTCAGGGTAAAATTATGTCATGATTTGGGTTGTAATGTCGTTTTTAGTGCGAGCTTGTGATTAATCCATTATATTTCCCGGACCTGGCACCTTGGGATCATCATATTTTTATTAAAGTAAGGGGATTATTAAAAAAAAACGCGCTTTTCGAAGGCTAACATGGAAGATAAGCAATTCAAAAACCCAACACAATGAGGAGTGTATAAAATGAATGCTTGCTTGCAATTGGAAAGTCGAGACATAAAACCGCCAAAATAACGAATTTTTCGTAAAAATAAAACCTGTATCATTTTCAGCAAGGACAACGTGGAAATCTTCATCAAATTCCTATTATTATCTACAAAATTATCACTTTGTACTATCTAAAAAGTAAAACAAAAAATTTAACCACATACGGGGGCTGAGTGAAGAGTTCTTGGACCGGAAGTGAAAAAATTAGTATATTCTAAAGAAAACACATGTTTTCTTTAAAGCTGTTTCCTGTTAGTTCAATAAACATCGTTTAACGTTTTTTAAAATTACCGGATTCTGTCCTCGATGGGAATGTCTTCAAACAATATATTTAGTAGTATTATCACCTCTTCATTTGGTGTAATTCATTTTCCAAACTCAAATTTCTTACAAATTGGTGGTTACAAATTGTAAGGAATAAAATCTGGTCGACAATGAGTGTTTTGCACAAATTTATACTTCAATTGAATCAAGTTCAATAAGTTCCTCGGTAGTTTTATTATCAGAGTTCCCGTGTGTGCTTCAATTGAATTAAGTTTAATAAGTTTCTCTATATTTTCATTACTCCTGTATGTGCTCCGCATTGTCATGGGAAAAATAATATTTTTCAAGCCTTTTCGTTATAATTCTTACACTTAACTCACTAAGAAACTTGCCCAATAATCATTTTATCCTTAAAATGAAAATATCCGTTTAGAGCCAGATAAATACATGCCAATAACTTTTCCAACACATTTTTTTATACTTTTAAATTTTCTTTTTTACTATATCACTGGTTTGTATTTGTCATCGGGATTGTTTTGATTAAGGCCTTTGAGTGATGAACCAACTTCAAATTCTTCCTAAAGTGGAGAAACGCTGTTTAAAAAGTCGATTCCTCGTTTATTTGTAATAATCCTGTTCTTGATGAAAGCTTTCTAGTATGGGGTTCTTCTTATAACTTGTTCTTATACTATTTCTTCAGAGATAATCACAGTCTATTCAACACTTTTATAACACTGTAGTTGTTTTTCCAAGAACTTTTCCCGTCACCCTTGAAATCAAGTAAGTTTTATAAACGCCTTACTTCTGAACTCGCAGCACTTTCTTCGGTACTTGATCCAGTTGAGCCGACGCTGGAAGACCGCGAAGACCTCAATCTGATGTTATCTTCGAGCCGTTGCCTTTGTAGAATCACGTGGTCTTTCACCTTGATTATTCTCTCGAGGATGGATTCGCACACGAAGTTGTGACTGTATGGTTTGTTGATTTCGATGAGAAGAGTCTGGTAGGCCCATTCGAACGCCCTCTTCACCTAAACATAAACAACAATAACACATATAGTACGTTAATTATTATTAATTATTAAACGCAACATTAAAAAAATATATACGAAGTGTGGAAATAAAATATCCGGACTAGTGCTGCTTATCATTTTTAGAGGAAAACTGTTAAAGCTAGTGAATTATCCAAACGGTTATGAATTATGTATGCGCAAAGTACACATCGTGTGTACACAAAGTGTCCTCACATCGTGTGAGTACATTAGGAAGTGGTATACAGGGTGGTGAATCGTCAAACGGGCCATAGGAAACTCAATGAGAAATTCTAAATTGTTGAATTCCTGCTTCCCTAATTATTTTACACAAAAAGTCATGGGAAACTATTTGTAGAGGACTCAAATATGTATCGAAAACAATTGTTAAAATTGTTCTATGACTTAAACGTATTCCAAAATTTTGCTAAAATATAATACATTTTTCAGGCCACCCCTAAAAGTCAGGCCAGACGCCGTGAAAAGAATGTGTATTACGTGTTGTTTTGTCATATTGACGTTTCTAATATTTGACAATATTTAAATCAACTATATTATATTTATCTATGATTTAAATGGCCAAAATTTTGTGATTTATTATATAAAAGAAAAGTTAAGTTGATTAAAAAATGTGCTCAGTTAAGGAGAAAAGAGCAATAATAAAAATGTTTTATTCATGTTTTATTATAACATTTGTTATAGTTTTATGTTTAGAAATTATCGTATATTATTATTAGGAATAAAGATCACAGTAACAGTATATTGTAAACAGTATATAGTGACAGGAAAAGGTTCGCGCTATTGCCTGAATACAACATTATGCGATTTTTCGTCAACTGAGTACATTTCATTATATTTATCGATTTGTAAACAATATAATCTATTGTTCACAAAGTAATATTGTTCAGTAGTAGTAGTATTTAGTAAAATTCATTGTTTATAATTTAATCATAAAATAAAAAAAAAATGACAAATCAAATTGTCAAACATCTGACATCAATATGATAAAACACACACGTTATAATATATTCTTGTATTACGTGTGGCCTAACTTTTAGGGGTGGTCTGAAAAATCTATTATATTTTTGCAAAATTTTGAAGTACATTTGATCCGTAGAACGGTTTTAACACTTGTTTTTAGTTTATAATTTAGTCCTCTACAAATAGCTTTTTATGACTTTTGATCTAAAATAATTAGGGAAGCAGCAATTCAACAATTTAAAATTTCCCATTGAGTTTCCTATGGCCCGTTTGACGATTCACCAACCGGTATAGTACAGTCAAATTGTATTTTTGTTTCATTGGTAAAGAACTGTGTTCTGGATGAAAGTTAATTAATTTTATTTCAAAGTTTTTACTTTTAGTGAAGTAGTCATTTGGGTTTTTGATCTAAAAGGTAAGCAGTTGCAAAAACTTGGAAAAACCTTTTCTTATTAACATTACAATTAGTTTTAAGGAAAACAAATAAAATGGAAAATTAAAGTCACATTCAAAAATGAAACCTACATCCACAGTTCCCATACGGTACCAAATACGTGGGACGATGCAAAAATAAATGTCTGGACATCTCCACTGTCCCAGGGAAGACGTCTAATCATTTTACAAGCTGGAGGTGCATCAGGATTTGTACCTAATACGTTATATTTATAACAGGAAATAAAAGTGGCGACTACCACGACGAAGTGAATTCAACAAATTTTAAACAATGGTTATAACAGCAAAAATAAGAATCGAGAAGGAAGACCTGAACATCATCGGAGTATTTTTTTTATGGCGAATTGCAAGAAGTAGTAGATCAAGTCAGAGAAAAGATGATAAAATGGGGGATTTTAAAGCTCTAGTGAGAAGTTGACTGTCAATAAGGGGACCTACTCCTTCACTCTGAAGTCCTATGGTTCAGTAGAGGACGGGTGCTGAAACGTTTTAATGATGTCATATCTGGCATAGTTCAATTTTTCAAACAACGCGATGAACCGACTCCAGAACTAAAAAGTTCAATCTGGCTTAGAGATTTTGGTTTTCTCGTGGACATTACAGAGAAATTAAACGAACTTAATTTGCAGCTTCAGGGAAGAGACAAAGAACTAGCGGAAATGATTTCTGATATAAAAGCATTTATCAAAAAGCTGGAGTTTTGGGAATAAAACCTAATTAACAGCGATTCCAAGCATTTTCCTAATTTCTACCCTGAAGAGTAACTTCAAAAATCGTTTTAAGGATTTCAATGAAATGGCTTTAGTAGCGCAGTTTGTTGTTTCACTCTTTATGGAAATTGATATCCAGCAGTTTGCAGCTTGTGTTATGCAGAACTTTGGCAAACACATCGCTGCAACAGAAATGGAAGTCATTGAGTTTCAAAATGATTTAGTCTTAAAATCGTTAGTCTCAAGTACTGAATGTATCTGACCTATTGTAAGTAAAGACAAATATTCAGTTCTATGCCGTGTTGCCTTGAAAGTGAAAGCATTATTCAGTTCAACCTATTTGTGTGAATCTTCTTTTTCCAATATGAAGTTTATTAAGAACAAATATCGCAATCGACTTACAGATGAACAGTTGGATAATTGTATTCGAATGGCTGCATCAAATTATACTGCAAACATTAAAAAAATTATCGATGAGTCTGAGTGTCAGCCTTCTCATTGAACGTGCTTTTTTATTTTTCAATGTTTATGTTTATGATAGTGCGTTACTTTTTTGTTGTTATTATTAACTATTTTTAAATCATACGTGGCATGCCGTTGTGGCTGGATAAAATTTTGTGTTTATTTTTCAAATACCTTCGTTTGATAGGAAGGAATGTAGCTATGAACAAGTATGTACTAGTAATATTAGTTATTTTGTTATTAGTTTATTATTAGTACCTATGTATTATGTATTACCAGTTAAACAGTAAAATAAATACATATAATGATAGATTAACTGTGGATTATTTCATTTACGTTGCGTTACGTGGCTTCCATGTGGGTAGCTCGCTGTTTATTCCAAAATTAACAAAGTAGCTCAACACATTGAAGAGGTTGGCGACCACTGCCCTACGTCTTCAGACAGTTGGGAAGATACAAACTCATACACATAAAGCTAGCGAATGTGTGCTGCTATTTCCACTATTCTAGTGTAAGCTACAAAAAGCGCCACCTATTTTGGTAGTTTTAAACGAAAACGACTGTCGGTTTTTGCCTTTTTGAGCTGTATAAAATGTATAAAAGATTTACAAATTTCAGCAAGAGCTTTGCTACGGCTTTGATGAACTGAGACGCCAAATATATAAATATATTTTATGTGTACAGATATTTTCAATGTTATATCCGTTTAGATAATTCTCAAGCTCTACGACTATCATATTGCAGCGAAGATGATCTTATTGAGGGCTTCAAGAGAAAACAATTTGAAACATATTTTAAACATTTTGGGAATATTTACAACATATTTTGCATAATTCGATATTTTATCATTAAATACGGTCTTTCTCAACGATATAATAACAATAACCTAGTTAAAACAGGTTTTTATGATATACAAAGAATTAAAATAACTTACCGTCAATACACCGTAACTACTTCTACCAATATCGTTTGATGGTTGCAGGGGGTCTTCTATACACAACATACTAGGTCTGTGGCCATCGACCATGTCCTTCTGCATCTCCTCCTTGTCCAGATACTTTCCTCCGTCTCGTATCCGAATGCCAGTCTTAATATAGTTGAATTTCCTACCGTACAGCTCAAAGAATTCTATCAAAAGGACCCCGACATTAAGGTGGCCGTTCTGAACGATATCCTGCCTGGGATGCAGCTGCAGAAAACTGATGCACATCAATATCAAACTATAACTCGAAATACCTCCGGTAAAAACTTCGTTTAAGTCTCTTTGAAAAAGGAATTGTTTCAGGACATATACTAATTTGGGTAAAACTGGGAATTTTTCGATGAAGTTCTTTATCAGTTCCGCCGATTTGACTCCGTTACACATATTAAAAGAAATGTCCACTTTGATGTCTGTTTTTTTATCGGTTAGTTTGACGATGGGCACTGACGCTTTATCCAACACTTTTATACTGTCCGGTACAGCGACGTCCTTTTCTAAAAATTCTTGTTCTAGAGTTCTTAATGGGAGATGTGACCATTTTCCTGAAACATTACCACATTAAAAATCATATCAAATTGTAACTGATGTAAACAAATGGAAGCGGAGGCAAAATCCGGCAATCGGCTCCAAATTATGACCCAAAATCAAATCAGTTGGCCCATAAAATTTTACGAATAAAATTAAAAATTTGTTGGTTCATTGGCGAGAATTGGACCGAGAACGTTCTTCTTGGTAAGCTATAGTAAAATTCATTAAGCGATGCAGGGAGATGTAAACATTAAATCGTGTCCGAACCTGTATGAGCTGCCGACAACGTCGGCAGACGAAATAAAGATGGACATTTCGGTTAGTTTTTAAATATTTTTGAACTGTTACTTGCATTTATGCATAAAATATTCATTAATTTTATAAATCGGATTATTTTTTCACTTACTATGTATTCAGTGATAAAAATAATTTATTTACTATACAATAAACACTAATATTTGAGAAAAGAAAAAAAAATTATAAAATGTCATAATTATACTGTTACTTATCGGAACGAGTAGACTCATTTGGAACATCTTTAACAATTATCTGTTAAATTTATCGTTGTTTATATGCCCTACATCGCTTACTGAAATAAGGTATAGCATCCCAGTCACTGAAGTATAGTCACCATTAATAAGATAAATTAGTAAACGGGAAGGAAATACAAGAATCCGTCGTTAATTATGATGAGGTGGTGCGAAATGTGTCGAACCACCAGACTCCTCCCACAATGAGCATTATTGGTAGACATTATATGAGTCGCCTAGTATCAAAATCGCCAAAACGCCATTTTTCCAGTTTTGAGATATGTACTCCCCTGGATTGATCTCATTAATACCTATCGACTGACAGTAGCATTCAGCATTAAAACATTAAAAAAGTTTGCCTTCCGTTTCAAAGTAACCTATGTTTTGGGAGATTTCCGTATCAAAACAACCAATGTTTAAAAGAGTCAATCAGGAGACTTTCTTTCATTCACGTAAGCTGAATATGATAAACAAGAAACATGACCAATTCACATTAATCAGTGCTTGGTTAAAAAACTTAAGTTAACTCAAAAATAATGGATATTTTACCCGTGCCAGTAACACCAACCAAATGTCAAAAAAGAATTAGACAACCTGAAAATAGGAAATGTGATATTAAGAAACGTCTCAGGTAAGTGTACTATTTGTAACAGTATAGCTTAAACGTCTATTTGAATTTAAAATCTCTTGTTTTTGACCCGCCAATTTTTCAGTATATCTGAAAACAGTTTTCTTTAATTTCAGATACATCCGAAAAGTACCAAAACAACCGCAGTGCCAGCACAAATCAACAGCTTTTGAGTGCAGAAAATTGAAACTAAGTAAACTTGCAGAAGTCATCAAACGATTATACTACAATTCAACAAAGATTGCACAATATGCTTCTTCTTCTTCTTTCTTCTTTACAGGCTTTAAAGCCTGTTTCTTCTTCAATATTAGCCTCCTAAATTGTTTAAATTGTCGCACCATCTTTTTTTTGTCTGCACGCTCTTCTTATGTTTTTGCTTCTCTCCCTAGCCAACAGACTTTTCCCTGATATTCGTCGGAGTATTTTCATCTCTCTTGTTTCTAGTAGTCGTCTCGTTTTAGATGTGTCAGGTCTTGTTTCCGCCGTGAATGTTAATATAGGTCTAATTGTTGCTTTATAGATTCTTGTTTTTTGTCTTGTCTTAGGTATTTGTTCTTCCAGATTATGTTATTAAGAGATCCCGCCACTTTACTTGCTTTTAAGCTTTGTGGTTGTACTTCTTTTTCAACATTTCCGTAACTGGTTATATCTATTTCCAAATATCTAAACATTGCTTCCTGCTTTATTATTTTCTCATCAATTTCGTTTTTACTTCGGAGTGGGTATTTAGATGTTGTCATACATTTGGATTTTTCTGCTGATATTATTTTGTATTTCTTGGTTGCATAACATAATATTTGGATTTCTTTGTTCCCCATTCTGTAACCATGACCTTTACGTACTGCTTGTATTATTTCGTCAATTATTATATTAAAGAGAAGTGGGCTTAACGAGACACCCTGTGTGACTCCTCTTTGTACTGGTATACACTGTGTTAGTTTTCCATTTCTCTTTGCCTGTATTGATCTTCTATTCTATTGCCTGTATTGGTCACCGTCTGGTCCTGATGACTTTCTATTTTTGAGTGAATTCATGGCTATCTCTACTTCCTGAAAACTGATTTCTATTTCGTGTCTTAATTCAAGTACCTTACTGTGTTGATTATTATTTTCCTTTCCTTTAAACAGTTCGGTCAGGTATCTTTACCATTCGCTTGCTGGTATGTTATTGTATTCCTTCAACTCTGCCATTTCTTTTCGTTGGTTTCTTATCAATCTCCATATTCGTTTTTGTGTACCGTAGAAGCCGCTTTCCATCCTTTTTTGTAAACTAAATAAATTTATTTACAAAAATTAGAATTACTCGTTTTATTAAACACGTTACAATACTACGAAATAGCAGAATAAAAAACGAAAAAATATTCTTTATATTTTGAATAAAATCTTTGAGTATGTTCGGCTAGTAGTCCTATAACTTATTCAGAAGTAATATTTTATAATAAGTTAAAATATTGACACATATTGTATAAAATACCCAAATAAACAAAAAATATGACTGGAAGATATGGAGCATTTTTTTTTTAAACTTAATCTCTTTTGTTTTTATCTTATCTAATAAGAGACTCGATATGTATATATGTATATATTTTAGTGTTTATACAAACCTATAACTACAAGGTCAATGTCACTAGTCGGTAGATAAAGCCCTGTTCTATAAGATCCAAAAATCTCAACTTTAGCTTCGCTCCACTTTGAGGTGATGATTTTTTCGATGCGATTTACGACTTCCAACCGGATTCTGTCTTCGGCGTATGTTGGACTCATGTAGCGGTAGAAATGTTCTATTTCTTGATTGAGCCTGAAACAATAAACTGAAATTACCTCATGATATTCAGAATTTGAAAAAACGTGCAATAATTGTAGAACTAAATAATAAACAAAATATTTCAGTTGAATATCAATTTGCAGCGCACCCGAGAACCTTTTCAACAGCAGACTAGATGTCTCCTGATCAAGAAAATTCGTGTCATAGTAAATAATAAACGCTCGTAGAGTAATTAAAGATAAAATGAGTAAAAAGAAAAAAGACCTACAATTGGTTTTTATTGAAACTACGATGTCCGGATTCGGGCTATATATATTCAGTCCATCATCAGGTCCAAACGTTAACAAGTTGGTTAACCAATAACGTTACAGGGAATTGTATTTATATTGTATTTTAACGAAACAACTGCACCAAAATGAGTTTAGCAAAGCTCGAAATGTTCGTTTTCCATTGTACTACAGTCCTCATTCATCAAATCTATCCCTCGCCCACGGTGGAATCTAGAGAAAGCTATGTGGGGTAGGTTTTCTGCAGAACTGGACAAGACTCTAGGATGGATATCCCTTACCATCAGAAATTACAAAAGATTCGATGGAGCCGTAATAAGCACGGCCAAAAAGCATACACCAAGATCGAAAAGAATACATTCCTGGTTGGTCCCATAACAGCGAAGAAGTGTACCAAAATTTCCTTGAAAGCGGCGATCAATAATTAACCGATGAACTGCGCCATAGCCTAGATGCAGCGAGACAACAAACATGGACGGAAGCTGTAGAAAGTCTTAATTTTCAAACATCAAGTAGGCAATCATGGACACTACTAAAAAAAATAGGAAGCGGAACTCCCATAGCAAGAAATAAAACAAGCAACCCAAACACTATTGCCTCACATCTGGCATCGACATCTAGGGTCCCGAAAGACAAGCCACAAAGGTAAAACGAGACCTCAAAACTTTAAAATTCCAATCTTTAGAAACCGAATACTCCCGTCCTTTCACTTGCGAAGAAGTCACCATAGCTCTCAGGGATGTAAATCCAAGTAAAGCCCCAGGTTTTAACAATATTCATCCCGTATTCTTAATTATAAGCGGCAAAAATGCGAGCGAATGGATGGCCCACGTTTTCACATATTCACAGACATTATGAAGGTCGGTACCATACCACAGGAACTCAAACGTCGAAGGTCATTGCCATATTAAAACCAGCGAAAAACAACCCTAAGGACTACAGTCCAATAGCCCTACTATCGGTGAAGTTCAAGCTACTAGAACGACTTATCTATAACAGAATTAGTCCGAAGGTACTTGAATCACAATACCGGTTGATCAGGCAGGTTCTTTCACGTACCACATTTCTTGAAGCAGTGTTCTAGAGAAAACTTAAAATTGCAGCCGCATTCGATAGCAGATGGTACTGCAGTGGTTTCTACTTCAAAAGAAGGAAGTGCTACAAAAGAACCTAGTGTTAACGTATCATTTGAGAACTTTTTATAGTCAGTTCGTCAAGCACCTAAGCCGGAGACAACAAAAAAGTGCTGAGTATGTCCTGGTTCTGAAATATTAACCTCAGAAGAAGAAAACTGTAAAAAATCAACACTACCAAAACCGGCTTTTCGAGCTTAAATTGTTTATAATCGGAAATGATGCATTTAAAATAAAAGTTACTAATAACATTTGTTGTTCAAAATGAGCCAATTAACTTAAAAAGTTAATATAGTCAAAAACAATTTAATTTTACAATAGATTTAAAAAAAATTGCTTAAACCATTTTTGACCACCATTTTCTCTTGGGAACATCCACTTTTGTTATAAGAAGACTATTTTAAGTAATATTGTGAATTTAAACTTTAAGAACTTATAATTTCTTATAAGATAATTATATAAATATACGATTTTTTGTTCTAAAAATATTTTTTTAATACTAAAAAATTGATTTGTTCAACTTAAATTAGAAAAAATTGTTTATATATAACAATTTAATAAGTACTGTTTATATATAATATTTATTAAATCTAATTTATATTTTAAATAAATAAATAACAAAATAGCAATAAAAAGCGATTTAAGAAAAAGTTTGTAGATCCTGTAGTTATTAGCTGTTTTGTTTTGGATAATTTTGCAATGAAAACACGATAAATGATATTATTTAAACGGTATACTTAAGTTAAAAAACAAACAAAAAGAGCAAATTTACCTAAGTAGAACCCGAGAAAACCCGCTACACAATGGAAAATGTTAAATACACAAACTAAAGAACAAAGGAGTCACCATATCAAATAGAGAAGAACTACTACACATAGTTGAAGACTTCTATCAAGAACTATACACAAGTCAAAGAGAAGACCAAACTAACTTGGAAGCCGCTGCATCACTCAAAACCATCAACCATTATTTATTTTACCCGAATAATTACAAGACTAGAAAAAAAGTTGGATTTCTACCAGCCCTGAGAACAAGCTGGCTTCCGCTCAAAATTCGGAATAAACGATCACCTATAAACAGTAAAAACCCTAATAGAAAAATCGAGACTTTCACAACGCCTTCGATACCGTTCGAATTAGGCAGCATTATAACTGCTCTGAACAATAGTAGACTAGACTACCGACAAGTTAGTACAAACATTGTACCAAAACGCCACAATGCGTGTAAAACTACATGATACCAGCAGAGAAGTTCATATAAAGCGAGGTGTGACACAGGGCGACACTCTCTCACTCTCTCAAATTTATGACAAATTTGGTTCCCAGAACACCTTACCGTCCAAAATCAAGTGGTAGAATTGACAGAAAAGTACATATATCTCGGTCATGAAATCAGAATAAGCAAGGATAATCAGACCTGTGAATTTCAACGACGAATAACACTTGCTTGGGCGGCGTACGGTTCACTAAGAGACATCTTTAAGAGCAACATCCTGATAGCTATGAAACGGAAGAAATTTGACTAATACGTTCTTCCTATTATGACATACGGAGCAGAAACTCTAACCCTCACAACAATAACAGCACTAAAAATGCGGGTGGTACAAAGGGGCATGGAAAGATCAATTCTCGGCGTGAAAAAGTGGCAAAATAAGGAACAAGACCTAAGGAGAAGAACAGGTATCACTGATGTCATCGAACGTACAGCCAAACTGAAAAGGAATTGGGCAGATCACATAGCGAGACTAAAAGACTCAAGATGTACCAGAAAACTTATTGACTGGCGCTTAACAAAAGACAAATGCAGCAGAGGACGACTACCAACACGCTGGATGGACAACATTAAACGAATATCCAAGAAATAGCAATAATACGCACAGAACTGTAAAGAGTGGCGAAACCTATGTCCAGCAGTGGACAGAAGAAGTTGCATGAGAACCCGAGATTAGAGCAATTAGAGTAGATAATTTGACTGAATGTGCGCTTGAACCCGACAAGTTTTTTAGTTATGAGAGAAATAATGAGTTTGGCGTTTTGAATGTTTATTTAAAAATAGTTCTACTAACAAATTGATAAATCCCTAGATGAGAGTATTTTTGTAATATCTCATAGTATCTACACATTTCAACTGTCAAACGTCTATATATTCGTGTCGAGTAAACATCTAACTTAATTGGCCTATAAGTTTTTTATTAACTCAATAACTCGTGCGATATCTTCTATTTGATTCCTGTAAAAACATTTTTGAGACCCCCTATATATTAGAAGATTCGCTATAAAGAATATAACGTAAATCACCTTTGTTTTATTTTGCATTCTCTGAAATTTATTAGAGGCGTTCTACTTTTATCTATTTATAGTTTTCAATGCTATTATTTGTGATATTTATACAATAGTATTTGAATCTTTAACCTCTATGTTTGTGTTCGTGTAATAGTTCAATTTTTATAAATGAAAAAGTTTACTTTTGGTCTGTGTCACATTTTGAATCTGACAGCGGCGATTGAAAAAGTTCTTACAGTGAAGTAGCGAAGTTGTTCAACGATAAGCATCTTTCTCAAACCATTCTCCTATTCATAAGGCCACGATACAAAAAATTGTAAAGCCTTTGAGAAAACTGGACAAGTCAAAGATGGCATTGAAACAGATAGACCAAAATCTGTTATAAATTACAATAAAACTTACGATCTATAATACTTCAGATGACCGTTTTGGAGTGTAATTTTCCTAGTCATGAGAAAAATTCAGCTAATACGCCTAAAAAATTTAATAATAAAAAAAGTTATTTGTTAATAACAATTTGCGGCCCACTTGAAGAAATTTTAAAAAATACATTTGAACTTGAAAAAAATATATAAAATCAATTAAATAAGGTTTGGTGCGGTAGAAATGCAAAAAAATTTTAGTAGTTTTACGCTCTACTCATAGAGGTAAACCCTATTAAAAAAATATTCGAATTTATTCGCAAAGGGGTGGTTTTTATTTATAAAGGTGGAAATTATGTAAATGGCGCGAACTTCGTTAACAAGATATGTTTTTCCGACACTGTGTGGGAATGTAAATCGCCAAAATTTAAGGTATTGAAATAAGGTAAATCCACACTGGATATATGAAAACCATACTCAAAGACCAAAAAAACTAAATGTATGGTCTGGTTATAGTGGGTACTCAGTTAACTAGGCCGTTTTTATAGAACGAAATTTAACAAGCGATAGTTATTATGAAATGCTACGTAGAAACGAAATTTTACCTACGCTGTAAAACAAGTTTGGAGCCAATTTTAATAAGATATGGTTTCAGCAAGACGGAACTCCAGTTCATTTTGGAGTAAATGATCGGCAATATTTAGAGATATTCATTAGACACATATTCATAGAGATAACTGATTTCAATCCTAAAGATTATTTTTATGAGGGATACTTGAAACGTAGAATTTATAAAACTAAACCAGCAAGTGTTACAGAGCTAAGGCAAAGAACTATCGATGAATCCATATTAATTTCTAAAGAAATATGGAGAAATGTAATAGACGCATTCCATCACTGTTAATTTAGCAGGTAGACATTTATTTAGCAGTGTAGTAAGCTTTTAATTATAATGTTCAAATTTAATTG